TCTGCGTCTATAATAAGGAAAATTTTGTCGGTTAAGGAATGTGGCCGCTTAAAAATTGCTTAAAATAGACCAAAAATTCGATTATTCCGGATCTAAAACTTGTCAGAAAGTCAAGTGTAAAATTGGAACTGGAAGGAAATAAAAAATGTTCTGGATGCCAAAGGCAAAAGCTTCAATGAAGCTGCATCTTTTATAAGCAGTTGGATTCAAGTCAGGTTATTTCTGGTACTATTGATCAATTCAACAAAGTAATTTCTCCATGCCAATCCGGACTTCTAGGGATTTATGGGAAACCTGAATGCTTTCTCAACAAGTTCATAACTTTAATCAATACAACCTTTGTTACTGACACAATCTGGTAAAAAAATAAATTAACCTGAACTAAATAGCACATACAATTTTCTATACATCTTAACTAAGAACTTCCAGAAGCTTCGGGGACTTATCCAATAAACGGAATCCAACTCCATCTGCTGTGTGGATGCTGGGTCTCATGAATCACTCTGGATATTGTTGGAATGATCTCCCGTGCTGTCGGTATGAATCCTTCGCTGATGGGAACCACTTCCCTCACAACTGGAGGAGGATAATGATGGCTTTGCAACCATAAAGGGGCGCCGGATGTCACCAGAAGAAGGACCATGAAGGCAAGAACTACCGACCGTTTAACCATAATGGTTCAGTGTGGATTGTACTAGGAAACTCGCAAAACTGCGGTTTGACTGAAGATTTTGGGTCATTTATACTGCAAAGTGGTTATATAATTTGAAAAAATCCTCACAAAATAGTCAAGGCCATGATTTGTATAATTGCTGACCCTTGACAAGGGTTCATGAGTTTGCACGGTTTGATTTATTTTTACCACAAAAGCAATGAAGGAACTGGTTGAATTTTGCAGTCTTGATTAGACGTTGTGTTGAAAGTATTTTGCCAAAAATTAGTTTCCTGCTTGTGTGAGCAGACAATTTTTCAGAAGTAGATTGCTTAGAGGTTGATGGAATAAAATACTGCGGCGGTTGCCGTAAAGGCAAATGGCATCTCAAGCACATTTTTCTCGTTATTCGACTTGCAAAGGGGCCAATTAAAGTCAAAACGTCGTTCTGAGGTTATAAGTTTCGTATCGATGTAAATTTTTTCAGCTGAGATAGTTAAGTTACCATTTAAGGAAACTTTTTTTAAGACTTTCGCAAATGTTGCCACTGGCTCCATGTAAAGATTATTTTGTGCTTGTTTTCGCCAAGAAGTTTCAACAAAATCACACAACATGGGCAGAAACTGGAAGAATGGCAAAAATCGACGTTAGATTTGAATCAGTAAGTCTTAGAAGTTTTATTTGTCCCTACCGTTATCAGGACAACTTTTATATTCTTCATATTCCAATCACTCGCCAGGAGACAAAAGTGCTTTTAAGATCGTTATGCAAATGAAGCTTTCAAAAGCTCAAAAAGCTTGAAACGGGGGCGTTTTACTTCAAGATAAAGAACAGCTGAATCTGCATGCCATTTGGGTGCAATCATCAGTAAAGCTTCTAGAAGAGACCTGAGCATTTACTCCGAGAAATATTTAAAGCACCAATAAAATTTAAGGTTTTATTTCAATTATTGCCTATTTCGTACCTTTTTACTGTTTGCTAGTAGAGCCCCCTAGTCTTCTAAACCCTATTTGAAAAACGAGTCAACAATCCCACCCATACGAAAAAAAATTACAAAGTTACAATTCAAATATAGAGATAATTTAATGCGGTTAATAGGACCAGAAGGTAATAACAATAAATTAGAAAAACGCGTTTTCAACCGCACTTGATCAAATTTATTTTACCAATGGCCTGCACTCTTACGAGCGAACATTGTGGCAACCAAGAAACCTGCTTAAAAAAGTATTGGGACTAGTGGCAACAAAACTAGTATTAATAAACTAGTCTAGATCTATTTTTGAAAAATTTAAAATTTACAAATCAATTTAAATAAAGCTGATATTAAATAAACAATAGTCGTGTACACCAGAAGGTAGATAAATAAAAATGCAATCTTCTAAGGTCGAAAAAGTTGTCGATTAATTTATATTTCCATTGTTCCATCCAATTTGTATGATATGCATCTTGCAATCGCATAAACTAAGCGAACAGTGCAATTAGCAATTTAAATACCAACAGTTTTTTTTTTAATGAAAAGCTATGTTGGAATGTTCTAGAATTTTAGTTAGGTGCTGTTCGGTCTGACTGTCTGCCAATAAACGCATTTCATTTAAGGAACTAGATTAAATTGAAAGTCACGATCGTGAATCTCATTTTAAATCAGACCAAAGTAAAAAAAAGGTACATTTTAACGCACCATTGATCTAGATACTTCACGTTAGTACTATTTATTACATCACATGGTTTTCCTCACGGGTCGTTGCATTAAGAGACCCAAATCAACTAGTAAAAGTGTGTTTTACGTGCCAATGTAAAAGTATACTTTATATATTATTATATAGCTTTGATAAGCGACTTTTTTTTGCTTGAATTCACATTTTTAACCTGGCGCTTTGTTAAGTTGGAAACTGCACATTTATAWAATTGTTGTTGWTGGAGGGACTAAAATKAAAACATATTTTCAGATAGCAATATGTTAAATATTCATGTCAAACTTTTTTTTATTTCTTTCCACATTAATTATAATTTTATTTTCAATCTTACASCTACTAGTTACTAGTCTAACTTAAGTTGAAATTAAATTACATGTAAAATAATTCTTAGACATTTTYCAACCAAAAATRTATGAAGTATTAAATGTGAAACAAGTTARTTTTCAGTCTTCCCAASATCGATACATAAGTTTCGGATATATGATTAAATKCAGMTTTAAAAAAGAMAATGARGCATAGAAAGCAACAAAAATCAAATCCTGACTAGAAGACTGTTGAATRATTAATCGCATTGTTCCCTATTCCCAACTTTAGAAAACGTGGAAAACTGCGAGGTGAACTGAGAAGAAAAATTTGCATATTAGGAAAATATGTGTAATTCTACTCATATTGAGAATATAACGCGGTAAATTATTATGCAATTTGGTACAGAATGTTGGAACGTCCAGTGTAAGTCAGTTTAACTGTTGTTTGTTTGTAGTTGTTTAACAAGGAAATCATTTATTTTGCGAATCTAAAAGTGAATGATTCCAAGAACAGGGATGTAAATAGTTTTTAAATAGACTTATGTTTTGCTTCTTTTTATTTAATTTTATTTAATTCAAACTTTTCTCCGCATATTTATTTTAAACTGGCAATACATAAACAATCTGCACGGCAGTTTTCAAAAGATCTCTATTAATGGAATGAAAATAAACAAGAGTTTAAAAAACATTAACGAAAAATGTATCTAAAATCATAAATAAATAATGCATATAGCGATGATGTGCAGAAAGTTGAAAATTTTATCTATTCAGGATGATTGAGCCAACGAGCATTATTTAAACAATTTTGGCAATACATAAACAATCTGCACGACAGTTTTCAAAAGATCTCTATTAATCGAATGAAAATAAACATGAGTTTAAAAAACATTAACAAAAAATGTATCTAAAATCATAAATAAATAATCCATCTAGCGATGATGTGCAGAAAGTTGAAAATTGTATCTATTCAGGATGATTGAGCCAACGAGCATTATATTTTCAGGAAAGGAAGAAAATAAGTTGGTGGTGAACCTTGAAATTATCTAAATGTTTTTATTTAACAATACAATTTTATTTACCGATAAAATTTCGATCCCGATGTAATTCATAAAATAGTGAAACGAAAGTAAAGGTAAATCAAAAAGTAGACAATTATTTTATCGATTTTATTACAAAAAGCAAAGAATACTCATGCTAAGTAAAACTTAAAATTAAATAAAAAGCTGATAGCAAAAGGCGTCTGTCTGTCTTACTTATGGTATATGAACTTTAGCATCGACATTTTGACGATGTTCACTTCAAGCTACTCAAACTATGCAAAAACTGAAGCTTTTATAAAATTCAAAAAGATCTTTTTTCTGGAAATTTACGACGTCTAGTAGATAGGTTTTATTCTTTGGCGAAAAGATAATAGAAACATGAAATTAAAAAACTTAATCTAGCACATCAATTGCTAAAAAATTGATGTGTTTTACCTAAATGCAATTATAAATATCTCAAATCACATAATTTTTTCCTCTTGACAATAAAACCTTAATTTAATTAAAACTCAACTTAATTTAAATAAAGTAAACCAAGCATTTATTTTGTCGTTCAATTGCAAGCCGAAGAAGAATTTACCCGTAAATTTGCCTAAAAATCAGAAATTTATTGTAGATAAGTTCTATATTGTTGAGGCGGATTCATTTTTTTACAAACTTCTTTTTGGGTATTTCGCCTCAAAAATTTTTGTCTAAAGTAAGTTTGTAAAAAGTCTAGTAAGTATGTAAAAAAAAAACAGAAATTTGTTCTTTTTAATTATTGATGAAGGTCTAGAAATATATAAAACTGTACTTTTCTGTTAGAAAATCTCTTCTTGAATAGAAAATTCAAAAAGGTTTTAAAACTTGTAAATGAAAAATGGCAAACAAATTTATGAATGAAAACAAAAAATCATCTCTACACCTGCATGCAATTTCATGTGCTCTTGTAAGTGTTAAATGGGTCATAAATTGTAAACCTTTGCAGAAACTTAAAGTCAAGATTAATGCTTTAATTTTAACAGGTCAAATGCATCATAAGCCAATCAATAGGAAAATTCTTGTCGGACTTCTGTAAGCATTTTCAGTGACAGTAGTAAAATCAGCTAAATATTCCGCAAAAAACTCCTGATAGACAAATAATAAAAAAACCGTACAATTTCTAAAAGAGAATATGCAAAGTATTATCCTGTCGACTTCAGATTAAGTTGAAAAGTTCCATGGTCTACTTAGATGGTTGCTGCTGGGACTCTTAAGACCTGCAGCCTATTACGGTAACAATAAAACATAATACACTGCGACGAAGAAAAGTGAAGCAAAGTCCTGCATTGGTATACGTGTTATGTCATGACATTGACCTGCCTGGTAGTGATTTTCCTATCTGGGCGCTTTTTGCAACTTGCACGATGAGGTATAAAAGCGGTGGGTCTTCAGACACATGCTACATTGTCTCCTTTAACCAACCATACCAGCAGTATCCCACCCATCAACATATCAACATGTTCAAAACGGTAAGTTATCCAATTTCCTTTCCCTTTTTACCAATTTGAAAAAAATTGTAGATTTTCGCCCTTTCCTGCCTTCTCTGCGTCGTAAAAGCTGGTTACTTAACAGCTCCGTTAGCTTACCATGCCCCCATCGTCAAAGCCGCAGTACCTGTAGCCACGTCTTACCAAAACACTTATCAGGTAAGTCTCTGGGACATAAAAAGAGCCGATGTAAGTTCAAAATTTGTAGATATCTTCTGCAGCTGTGCCTGTGGTGGTCAAAGCTGCCCCCGTAATCGCCGCCCCTGCTGTGCACTACGCCGCTGCTCCAGCTATTATTAAGAGCCCGCTGTTAGCTGCCCCTTTGCCATATGCTTACCACTAAGCGATAATTATTGCTGTTTTTGTATGAATTTAAACTAGAGCTGCAAATTCGTACAGTCATCGTGTAGAGAATGGGACGCTTTTTTTAATTATAACTGCTATCAGTAGAAGTTTTAGTTTATTTTATTTTTTATAGACGTTTCCCAATGATATTTCAGTCCTGAACAGCTGAAAATGGTTGGGTTGGACGCAAGTCGTTGAGAAATAAAGCGTTGATGTCAGGAACCCGAATCGAGCGATACTGAAAATTATATTTTTTAAATTAAATTTGAAATTAATTGTTATTAATGGGATGAAAAACTTTTGCCTTTGGTGAAGAGGAAGAAATATATCCAGTGGAGTAATAATTTTTTTTTCAACAGGCATCGTTTTCGAAAAAAAATAATGAAAACGCTCTTTGCCAGTGACAAACACATTGAATAAAGGCGAAAATTTCAAGAACTATTCTTAACATTAACAAAGAAAAGTATAATTTTTTTCCACTATTGTCATTTAATCTGGTAATCAAAAAAAAGAATAAATGACTTTCTGCTGATGACCGCTTTACAGCTTGTCTAAGCGGCAAAAAATGCTAAACGAAGCTTTCAATCTGTCGCCAATTTAATAAAGCATTATTAATAAACCTTAATCATTTGCCACGTGAATTTCAATACAAAAAAATAGTCTTTAAAAATAAAAACTTGTGTTTAAAAAAATGGTCACTCTATAAGAAAATACAATGCTACAAGCATTTTTCTTACTTAATTATTCAACCTTAAACTCATAAATTAATAAAGTACAGGAGGAAACAACAGAAAATCAAACAAAAATTTACTTAAATCCCTATATGTTCACATATGAACTGTAGAGTCCGATGATCTCGTAAAAAATTAAGCCGTTAGATGCCCAAATTCCATGATGGGCAATGCACAACTGTATTCAGCTTTTATGATTTTCCGTAGCATCTAATAAAGTTATTGTGGAAATTTTTGGTAATCAACGAAATTTACAAGAAAAATATGTTAACCACTTTTGCTCTTATTGAGTTTTTTTGAAAATCCGCTTCCAAAGCATGGGTTTCGAGCCAGAAAATTAACCGAAATCTGTTCAAAGAATTCCTAGTCCTAAACAGCATTTCCATCTCATCTAGTTCCGGTGTATTTGATTATTGAAAATGCAGACACAATTATTTGTTCACGTGAATTGATCCAAATAAGCAAAAAAGAGACGGTTACAGTAAACTTTTCAAGACAAATAGAACGACGAATTGTCTAAGATTTTGTCGGTATATATAACTACAACATTGTTTTTGAGCAAATGTCTCAGCACTTTATGGCAAAAATGTCGCTTCATGAATAACTCGTTTCCTCCCAAATGGGTTAGACTTAGACAGATAAATGATTAAAAATTAGTTGAAAAATCGCAGTGTAATCAATAGACAATATTTGACAAAAAAAATCAGCAAAAGCGGTGAAAGCATTAAAAGTGTTAAGAGTTAAGAGTAATACAAAAGTCGGTTCAGCCAGTATTCAAATTTAGTCAGTTTCAATCAGCCACTAATTGTGGCTGTATTAAAAAATTGTCAGTTTCGAGATAAATGGGCTTAGTTCTACTAAGTAGCAGGTTTCAAATCATGATTTAAAAAAGCATTTTGCAACAGTCCAAATAAAAATTAACCGGAAATTTTCAAGACTTTACTTCCACTCGAACGTTCCAAACGAAAAAGGAACTATTCGCGTAAAACCTTCAATACCACGCTATCAAATGCACGTTTGATGTAGTTATACACATTTCTTCCTTAAAACGTTTATAAAATCTACAATTATTGCCTTGTAATCGGTTTTAATAAGCGAAAGCTGAGGGGCACAATTAATCGAGTACCGGCAAGTCAAGATTTTCTTGCCTGGTGCATTATCGATAATGTGAACAAATAAATCTAATTTATTATTATAGTCGTCAATGTCGCATAGTTTTTGCAAAAAAAATGAAAATGAAGTGGGATTCGGATATCGGTCAAGTAGCTGAGTACTTAATTCGATTGGAAGAAATTTTGCACCACGTCTCTTATTATTGCCGTAAGAAAATAAGGAAATTTTAAGGAAAAAATACATCCAAAATTTAAATATAAAAATTCTCGAGACTAAATTCAGTGCTAGGTGAGCCCGCAAACACCATTCAGGGCTTCAAATTTCTTCACCTAGTGAATTTTAACTCTGGGCAGGTTAATTATGCGAAAAGCACCTGAGTTGCACGAGATTCTGGTTTATTAACAATAGCAAAACCAGATTTGCCTGATTTGTTTTCCTTTGCACTTAATCAGTTTCCAAGGCAGATAAATCTAAATCTACACGAAATATTTGTTTTTGGCCAGGCCTGTACTCTGCCCATTGTGTGACCGATTGACTTCGTAATAGTGTAAATTTTAAATTTCAAAACTTTTTATTGAGAAAGCCTTGAAAGCGCACAATCCTCCGACGCGGGCATTTTTCCTGATAACAACAACACTGTTGTTTTTTGAGTAGTGTTTTATTTATTTTAGACATAATTTTTATATAAAATTCTACTAAAATAGTACAATATTTTCCATTTTCTGCAGTAGCTTTTTAAGTTTTCAAAATTCCAATTCCAATTTCCAAATAATATTGCCAATATTCTTTTGCCCATTTTAAAGTTTAAACGGTTTGAAATTTGTTGGTTAACAACTTTGTTGGTTGCTCTCTTGAAAAAGTTGATGATTTATTTGCAGCTGCTTACTTTTCTTTGCTGTGGAAATTTTCTGATAAATGCATGAATCAATCAAATGCCATTTTGTATTTTTTGCCAATCGTAAAATCACCTTTTTTCTACTTTACTGTCTTTACATCTGTTATTACTGTCCAGTTTTTAGTTTCTTTTTTCCCAATTACCATTAATATAACATTTTAATTAAATTTTTCATGTTTATAGCGTAAAATAAAAACACTCTAGTTTAATGAAAACATTAATCAACTTTCCAGTAGAAGCTGAAATAAGCGAGAACTAAACCAACTAATTTCCAAATTTTTTACAATCAGTATACAAAATCTTGGAGTCCATATCATTCCAGTCTCAACTTAGTGGGAACAATTGTCGTTTTCCAGTGTCAAACTGGAACATTTTATAGTACTTTTTCAGCTGTTAATGCAAACGTTTCTGTAATCTGACCAGTTTTTCAAAGGAATGCAATTAATATAAAATGTTTGCCATTTAGAGGAACCAATGACACTCTAATCAACATAGTTTAAGGGTTTGCTAATTCCTATATGGAATGAATCAATTTTAAGGCAATAAATTGTCACTTTTGCCAAAAAGATCATGGCACTATTATTTAATGGGAAAAATTGTGAATTTCGAGACTATGGGCAATTTTTCCAAATTTGTCTCTAATTACAGCGATATCTTTAAAAACAGCTGTGACCAAGATTGGACGAATTTAGTGGGAACAATTTAATTTGTTAATTTAAGTTTTGCTACCCAAGGCGCAAATATACCCCAGATTTGCGTGCATTGGCAAAAGATTGGCTCTGGAAAGATGAAATTGGAAGAAGTAATTGTCATTTTAAAGCTGAGAGCCTTGAGCTCACGTCTAACTAAAATACTTAAAACAGATTTCAGCTATTGATATTCATTTGTGCAACATGCCGCTGCTTTTGGCGTAATTTTCCGGAATAAAGTGGAACCATTTCCACATTTTGGCACATTTTTCTACCATGTGATTTAATGCCATGAGTGCGGCAAATAACTTTATTAAATAGAAACTTTGGGGCAAAAAGTGCAAATAGATGTGGTTTGCGAGAAACGTCTCCAAATCTGTATATAATGCCAAATTCAAGAATCTTTTAAGTTTGCAGCCCGATTTGTTTGATGTTTGTAGTTGGTTGAAGCAATTGAACGTTGTTAGTTCCAAACATTGTGAAATTCTAAATTTCGCTGTGATTATTTTAAGTTGCTTGGATTTATCAATGGAGTACACAGTTAAAGATTTTTTATATATAAAATCTACATTTGGTAGGAACAATTTTCACTTTTAAGTTTCCATCGAGGGTTCAATTTGCAGGCGCCAACCAAATGCAAAACTGTTTCAACTTTCTATATCCATATCCACTCTGATATTCCATAAATATTCGTGCCGTCTAGACAACAAATGATTTATTTAACAAAGCGATCTTACATTGGGAAAATTAAAAATTCCTTTCCAAATTCATTAATCTAATTCGACACTGAAAGATTCGCAGTCTCTGCTTCGTAACTATTTTGGGTGTCTTTTCCTCTTGGTTTTATTTGATTATCATCTGTGATCCTCACTCGAAAATTCACTGTTTTCACCAAAAGGTTTTTGTTAAATGTGACCAAAATCAATTTTCCAACAAACACTTTATTAGGTGGCAAATGGACTGGAGCGGACAAGCTGAAATTTCCGTACCGCAGAAAGAAGAACAAAGAACCACCGGAGGAATTATTATAAATATTTGATAAATTAAAAAAAACACAAACATTTTTCGCCTTAAAAACACATGAAAATCATATTACAAGATTTAATAGTTTATATTAAAAAAACAGTCTTGCTTCCAGGGAGAATGAAAAACTGGCACTATTAATCTTTTCATTGCCTCGAAACGACTCACAGTACGAATGGGTACTGGCGAATTTTACCGGCAAAACCTGCATTTGAATGATGCAATAATGCATCTCATGAGATCACCGAATCTCGAAAATACGGTCCTGTAATCCATAAGCCACTTGCCGCCTATTCATGGACTCGTAGAGAAAAAAACTCGGATTCTGGTCTTCGATTTTTCCAAACAAGTCCAATGGATAGAAGCGGACTAATTTTAATGTGGGGGCCCTTGTTCCACTTTTGGATTTTTGACACATTGCTGCCAGCAACTAACTGAATTTACTTCGGGTGGGGTGCAATTCAGGCATGATCGATTTGTATAAATTGCTTGCATCAGGGTAGCAAAACCAATCAAACGTTCGCATTTGATCCATTTAGAACTCGATCTAGTGTGGTTAATTCAACAATAGTTTCAACATGTTCAAGCTGGTGAGTACACTGTTTAGTGAAAAGAACTGGCTAATCAGTGTTGTTTTGTCTGTTAAGTGCGTCTTCGTTGCCCTCCTTGCCTACGCTTCTGCTGGGCTCATTTCCACTGGACTAATTGATGAGGGAATCTCTTTGGGAGGTTTGGGCGGTTTGAGCACCATAGGAGGTATAGGAAGTTTGGGCGGATTAAGCACCATAGGAGGTCTTGGAGGTCTGGGAGGTCTTGGAGGTCTGGGAGGTCTAGGAGGCATTGCCCTGGGCAGCAAAGTGATTGCCGCCCCTACCATCGCAGTCAAGGTAAGAATATCCCAACCCTTTGCCTAGTTTAACCCAATTTACTATCTCATGTTTCTATACGGATACTCAGGCTGGTGCAACCTCCTACCAGAACAGCAACCTCCTTGCTTTGCACCCCACCCCCGTAGTAACCAAAGCAATTGCGGCCCCCATTGCGGCTCCCATTGTCACCAAAGTGGCCTCCCCCATCTCCATTCTCGGCTTGGGACATGTAGGACTTGGCAACTTAGGATTGGGAGGTTTAGGCCTTGGCATCCACTAAACGATGTTAGGTTTTTGATGGCGATGTTTGTTATATAGATGAGCAATTACTGTTATTTATTTATTTATTTAAATGAAATAAAGATGCTTTCAAGAATTCCATAGCGGTGTATTTATTGCAAGACTTAGAGGAATAAGATTAGTTTAATTGAACCATTGTTATGCCAACACGCGGTATACGTTTTATGGGACTGGGGGCGAAAACTGGAACTCACATTATAGAAGTGACAATATTGAGGAATCGGGGTAAATTTTCGGTGATGCGAATTTTTTGTTTGTTTTATAAATATTTCTAATTTACCTACTTCCGCTAAAATGATTTCGCATTTGTTTGTAAAAAATTAGTTGCTAGAATTATAAAAATTCCTCTAATCCGTCACTGAGATAGATACAGATACGCAACACTTTAATTCAGTCTTAAACCAATAATTTAAAGCAATCTAACAAAACGCCTTTATTCACTCGTCTTGAAATTAATTTTTGTAAACATTTTAATCAAAAAGTTTTACAATTTGAAGTAGGAATGTTGAAAAACCGTAAAATGCTAAAAGAAAAAAGTGGACAAATATAAGAAAAAATTTTCAAAAAATTTTTGGTTTTTTTCTCTTAAACTGATGGTATAATTAGCCTTGCAAAACCCCAATGATTTTCTAGAACACCGAAGTACTCTTCTTCTAGAGTACCGAAGTTTTAATTGAAAAATCGACAAATACTTCTACTAAATAATTTGCAGTTTACCAAATTACTCCAAAAACTGCGCACATTTTCTAAACACCTGAGATAATTAAACATCTCGGTAATGGACAGAAAAAATGAAACGTTTGAAACGTACAAATAGCAATTAGTAGGAACAATTGTTACTAATTTAGAAACTTGGGGCATTTATTAGCTTATAATAAATATATACAAAAATATAATAAAATTTGCATGCACACAGAACTGGAAAATATATCAAAATATATCACATGCCCATAGAGATAATATTATTGTTGAAAATCAAATTCGGTTTATGAAGTAAAGTATGGCAGTAAAAAGCTGCGCCTCGGGGACAGAAAAGTGAGGTAGAAAAAAGGCAAATTTGAACCAAATTTTAAACAGACATCGAAAGCCAAATGAGAGGAAGGAGCGAGTGTCCTTTCCAACAAGCAAAATAAGTCTTAGATAATAAATAAAAAGCAAGGTAAAACCGGATAGAAAGTTAGCAAAAATACAAAATAACACATATACAATAACGGTAACGCTCACAATATTGTAGAACACGCGCCTTTACTGATTGAAACTCATAAAAAGCTTATTGATAAAGAAGTTTGAAAACGATGTTGGAACTATATTTACTTAATTTTATATTCTCTCTTAGTCGGTCGGAAGCATTGAAAAATGTATTTTTGTTATCATTCAATTAAAAACATCTATCAATCAATCAATCAATTCAAATTCATTTAAAAAAATACTTACCACAAAAATCTGATATGAAAAATAAACAATTTCTGGACAAAATACTTATAAATTTATCTGACAAACAATTAACTGATGCCGAAAAACTTGTTCTCTGCAAACGTTTAAATTTTTCAATTACACTAAAATCGTTCAAAGAATTGACTTAATTTCTGCAATGGAAGAAGCAACCCAAAAATGACCAGAAAGACATTAGGGAGTATTATGTATAATGTAATATAAAATCAATCAAAATAATTTTAGAAAACCATTCAAAATTAAACAAAACATCCTCAAAAAGCATTCAAATTCTTCCTGCCGATAAAAGTGGTAACAAAAACAATATTAAGAAGTATCTTCAAATCTGAA